GCGTGTCGTCCACACCGAAAACCGGGAGCGCGCAAAGGCAGCCAGGAACAAAATAGTGGACACGAGCGATGAGATGACGAAGCGACGAATAGAAGAACACACGGAGAAAGGATCATCCTCATGGCTGAGCGTGCTGCCCCTGGCGGAGCATGGCTTTCGTCTCACCAAGCGTGACTTCCGGGATGCTCTGGCATTGAGATATGCATGGCCGCTAGCCAATACACCAGCAACCTGTGTGTGTGGTGAGCTGTTCTCAGTTGAGCATCAGCTATGTTGCGCCAGGGGCGGCTTCCCGACACTTCGTCATAACGAGATACGTGACCTGCTGGCGAGGGAATTGACTGAAGTCTGCACTGCCGTTTCGACAGAACCAGCGCTGCAACCTCTTTCTGGTGAGAGGTTTCCTCTTCGGTCAACGAACCGCCGAGAGGATGCGCGCCTGGACATAGCCGCTCGAGGGTTTTGGGCCCGTGGGGAGGAAGCTTTTTTTGATGTAAGGGTATTTTGCCCAGATGCTCCTTCCTACGGGTCCAGAACCCTTCCTGCATTGTACCAGCAGCACGAGCGGCGTAAGTGGAACGAATATGGGCCAAGAGTCACAAATGTAGAAAGAGCCGCTTTCACACCTCTCGTGTTCTCTGTGCAAGGTGGTTGTGGGAGGCTGTGCAATGTGTTCCTCAAGAGACTGTGCCAGATGCAGGCCGAGTCATCGGGATCTCACTATTCCCAGGTCATTGGTTTACTCCGCTGTCGGCTGTCTTTTGCTTTGCTGCGTGCTGCTGTGTTGTGCATACGTGGGGCTCGGTCACGGTACCACCATCCGGCGAGATGTTTTCATGATGTCTCGATTGCCGTGGCCGAGTCAGGTCTAGTTTGTTAAGTATCGTGCTGTGTCCTGACTGTGCATGCGGGATTGGTATGGCGCTTACCCTTTTGTTGTTGTTTTGTTGCTTTCATGCCTTTAAGCATGTAATTGTGTTCAATTGTTGTATTTCATGGAAAAACGATCTTTGCGTTGGATTCATTTAAACTATTATTTGTGTAGGGTTCCACTCCTTCATCTTGGGAAATTGTGTTTTGTTTGCCCAAAGAAGTGGCTTCATAAAAAAAAAAAAAAAAAAAAAAATCATCATCATCATCATCATCATCATCATCATTATTACCACCTTCACCTGTCAAGCTCAACTCTCCTAGTACATGTAACAGATCACCTAGGTTTTCATCGTCACTGTACACTCCGCTTCTATACTCCTCTTCCAACTGTCATGCAACTTGTACTTTCATCATTTCCATCAGTCACGAATTCCATTGATAATTGTGGCAAGATATCGTTCAAAAAACTTTCAATTGTTGCTAAGATTGTGATATGAGTGCCCACCTAGTTTATTTCATTACTGGTTAGTGCGTATTATGTGACCCTGTTCTATGCAAGCAAAAAGAAAATGTTGTAGCACTCACACTTTTCAAATAATACGCACTCACCAGGTTTGTCCACACGCACTCACAGCTGCCACATTCATCTACTGCTACCATTCTCAGATACACTGCAAAGGTTCACACTACACACGGTATGCATAACCGCAAGCTGTGCTGCATTCTCACGCTTCTTTTCATATTACTCTAGCTATATAACTGGTTGTTTTAGTGATTCTTACTATGTGACGATGTTCCACAGATGCTAGTCACACGAAAACGTTCTGGACTTGTTTCATTTTAATTGTTTTATACATGGTTACGAGTGCACAATTGATATTTTGCTATTTTTGCTATTCTGCTAAAGTTTTCAGTTTTCTAGTATGCTCAACAAAGTAACAAGTTAAGGCCGATTCACAATACAACTTTCTGAGACGCGACACGCGATTTGCGACAGTTGCGACAAGAAACTGCCTGTCCCGAGCTGTCGCAAGCCGTCGCAATGCACCTGTCGCAGAAGTTGAAGAAAGTTCAACTTTTGCGACATGCGGCACGCGACATACACAAATGGAGTACAGTTTCGACCCTGGGTGCACGTGCAGTGCACGTGCATAGTACTACTTGTGCGCATGAGGCCGTCGCAAACATGAAGAATATTGTGAACCGTGTGTCGCTGCCGCAGCTCGTCGCATGTGTCGCAAGTCGCATGTCGCATCGCAGAAAGTTGTATTGTGAATCGGCCTTTAGTTTCAAATTCCAAATAATTTCTCGATCCACGCATTCTCTGTGTATACTCAAATGTGGCCGGTTCTCCACAGGACCGAAGTGGATCGACAGCGACATGTCTCACCTTGACGAAGAATCAGATCATACTCGTCTCAGCAACATATGAGCGACTTCAAGCACCTAAAAATATATCGATATAATTATTGGTCCTTCATCCTCAAAAAGGTAAATATTAGTTTACTCTCATCATCAGTGGATAATTAGATGACATGGAGGAGTCTCTACGCATCTTTTGTACGTCGTTTTCGAGCAGTGAAATGTTCCAGAGTACGGAACTTGTGTGTTTGCCGTCATTGCCAAGGTTACGATCGCAAACACGCCACATTCCCGCGCTATGCTTTGTTATTTTGAACATTTGTACCGAAATTAAAACCTCCCGCGGAAAATCGATGTTTCTCGTACCAAATTTGGATGCGAAAAATCTATCTGCACCCGATGATGCAAAATCTCCATACGAACCATGATTCATATGAAAGCCAGTGCGCACGAATTCTCTGTGCCAAAAAATCGTATGGAGCACGCCTCGAACAAATCCGTAGCGCCCTTACAGATTTTAGCACGGAAAATCGTACCCCGGAACCTCTTTAATATGGAACTAAAGTGACCTTTGCTGTTCCTGAGGGAGAGACCAAATGTACTGTTCAAAGGAGGAGTCAAAAGGCGGAGTCAACTGAACAATGGAGTAACAAGGAAAAACAGAGAGAATCAACAAGGAATATGACGATTAACTGGATGATGAGATGGACAGGAGGTGATACGGACGGTAATGATGAGATTGGCGACGACGGCAGCGTCGGGAGGGTGGAGCTGGATGAAGATGGTGATAATCAGAAGTCTGTGTTTCACCGTACTTTGTCGCGCACGATATGCACGACAATTTCGGGTGCTTGAAGCTGTGTGTATTCGTCTGTATAAGTCAGTTCTGTGTAGGCATAAGAAGCATGTAGTAGCACTCAAGTTATTATTCGTAAGTTCACACATTGCTTATTTTTGGGTTAACGTATATGGCTCATAACTATTATCTCAAGTCGTTGTTCACGCTCCTTTTTTTGAGCCTTTTTTGTATAATTGTATCACTCCAAAAATCATTTTTTTCCTCTGCTGGACACTATTATTCTTCAGTCACGAAAATCCACTGATGAGAGTGACAAGAAAATCGATTTTGATTAAACCTCTTTTAGACTTCTTTGTTGTGTGGCATGACCGCGGAACTAATAATATTCATTGCAATCATTAAATTATTGTCTCCTCGTCGCTTATTTATAACAATTATTAGGGCTGAAACGATTATACCGAATAATCGAGTACTCGTTTGATAACTCTAACGATCGATCAATCGTTTAGATTACCGATTACGATTATTTTGCGTTTTTTAAATTTGTGTCCAGAAAGTACTGTAAACCCTCGTTTTGTGAAGTTTAAATCAGTTTCCGCTGGGAGTATGCAGTTGCCAGGGGTATGGTTCATGTTCTGAGGTTAAATTGACTTCAAAACTGCCATGTTTCGGAGCTACCCTTTCACTAATGCAGATTGGTTGGTATTATGAAGGCATAGTTTGTGGAAACAGAGTAATGTTTGCACAGAATTATGACTCTGATTATAATCGAGTACTCGATCGTTAAGCTAAAGAGTAATCGATACATGAAAATCCACGATCGTTTCAGCCCTAATATTAATTATTAATTATACAAAAGAGAAAGACCAAGGAACTACAAGTTACGCTAGGCTGTCCACTAACACCACCAGTTACTAAACAATCAGCTCATGCGATACCATTGCACGACACTGACCGACAGTACTGACGTTCTACAACTAACTGGCTAACAGCTCTAGCACATCTTGGATGCACACTCCAACAGCCTCATAGCCAGCAATCGCATGTCATCACGTACATTCAAAATCAACATAATTTTGCTATAAATCGACCTTTTCTTCAGCATCACTTTTCAACGAGGACGAAGCAAAGTCGGCCGAACGAAGCCCAGAGGAAGTAAATCACTCCCTCCACTTCACCATCACGATATTGACATAGATACGAGACGAAACAACTAAAAAAGGCACAAGAAAACGGTACGGCCATCTTCGCGCTGACTTTGGTCTGAGAATTTCTATCACGATCAAAATTGTACGAGGAGCACTCAAAATAAGCTACCGTAGTTCCAACTTGGAAGGTTCTAAGTTATAGAAATAACATAACATAACTTGGCTCTCCATCTGAGTACAATTATTAATTAATTATTATTATCCATTATTCTCATTTAAGTGTCTTACTGTCAGTTGTAGAACTCCCAGTACTGTAAAGAGGATAGTTTTAGCGGCTAACAAATTTATCAATTTCTGAATCAGAACCAATTAGCGATGAAATATAATATTTTAGGGGTGCGAGTTTCAGGGTTAAAACAATGTAGATTACTGGTACCGTACTGGACATGCAAATTTTCGATTTTCCGTGCGGCAAATCTTTAGCGAAGACATTCCTTTTGGAAAAAAAATCAAAAATAGCCGTTTTAGTTTAGTATTAGTTATTAGTTTAATTGACAGTAGTCATTACAGAGTGAAATTGGACTGGTGTTTTCCCAACATCGGGCACAGGTGCCATTGGGTCCTTGGAGTCCTAAGGGTGCAGGTGCAAGAACTGGTGTGCCAATAAGTGAATTTGGAGAATGAAACTGGGTATTGCAAGCAAAGTGAAGTGAAAAAAGAAAATCAGTGAAACTAAGTGTGAGATCCAGCATCACAATTACCCCATCACAATCTTGTATCAACTTGAAAAGAGGAGTTATTAATTATTTATTACTTACAGGTGCTGTTGAAAGTTGTCGTGCTCCCAGTACTCATAACTGAGTCGGATTGGGCGGGGGTTTCCCCAATATCAGGCACAGATGACGTTGGGTCTGCACCACCATCTGATAATGGGGCTAACATGCTTGTTGCGGATTGGTTCAAATCTGGGGCTGACGTGCTTGTTGTGGATTGGTTCAAATCTGGGGCTAATGTGCTTGTTGCGGATTGGTTCAACATGCTTGTCGCGGATTGGTTCAAAGCTGGGGCTAACGTGCTTGTTGCGGATTGGTTCAAATCTGGAGCTAAAGTTCTTTCTTCAAGCGTAGATGTGTCTATAAGTGAATTTAGAAAATGAAATTGTGCATTCCAAAGAAAGTGAAGTGAAAAAATCTGACATTGCGGGCCAAACCATGGGCGTCAGAAATTAGCTTTGAAATGGTTAATATGGGTTTTCACCTATCGATTACTCGTTAGCTTAACCATGGATTAATCAATTTTAATAGATAACAAACAGTGTCTGACATTGCAGGCAAACAATGGGCGTCCAAACTAGGATTAACACGACCATGGGTTTTCAACTATCGATTACTCTTTAGCTTAACGATGGATTAATCAATCTTATTTTAGTAGTTAACAAAATTAATAGTGTCTGACGAATTGCAGGCAAACCAAGGGCGTCCAAACCTGGTGTTGAAATGATCATTGGTATTCACCTATCAATTTTTCTTTAGCTTAACGATGGATTAATCAATTTTAATAGTTAACAATTAGTGTCTGGATTTTGTACAATATTTTCTCTTTTCCACAAGTTGTATCTTAATAAAACCAAACATCTGCATATGAGAGGCATCACAGACATTGTACCGCACAATTTAAATGCTAGTTACACAAACACACTTTGCGGCGAACTTCATCCCTGTGTTCAGTGCGATACGTTCGGTCACGGTGAGGAAGGATGTCCTACATCCCACCTATTGAGCCACTTGGTCTACCAATTTGAGTGCCGGAATTGTGATAGCCGGTATGTTGGTAGGACCCTTCAACACCTGAGTGCACGTATCAAACAGCACGTACCACTTCACATGGTGCCGGACGCAGCAAAAGCGAAGCACCCTAAGCGGTGAAGACCACACAAGAACCCGCTCCCTCTACCACCGACACAGCCAGAGCAAGTCGAACACACGGTGCAGAGGAAGAGTGGTGGATCACTAAGCCAACCGAATGTGCCTTCTCCACCGTTGCCCTTGCCGCCACCGGAGCCACCACCAGTGCTGTTGGTGGCTGGGGTTGGGGTGGAGTCGGCAACAACGACAGTACCGCCAATCACAGAAATTGATCCCATTTCTTTGACACAGTATCCGGTTGTGAGGACACCGCAGCATGCTCCGGCGCTTGATCCGTGGGTCCAGAGACCACGGAGGTCGACCGCTAATTATTCAACCGAAATATATGCTAGGAATGGTCAAGGCCCACTCGTAACAAGTTCCTCCCGCCGTTGTTTTCAAGAAACATGCAGGATACTACATGTGCAGTTTTGGTGGAAGCTATCAAGGTGCCGGAATCACGCACACACATACACGCAAGCGTGCGGGTGCGAGCACACACACACACACACCGACACACACACCGACACACACACACACACCGACACACACACACACACACACACACACACACACACCGGCACACACACACACACACACACACACACACACACACACTATACGTAGGCTAATTGCTAACCTGTGCAATTAAATCCATCGCCAGTAAATCCAGGATCACAGGTGCATAAAAAGCTTCCCAAAGTGTTGTTACATTGTGATGATGTACCATTACACATGGTGTTACACTCATCGATATCTATAAGAGGAATAGATTAACACACATGGGTCAATCAACCAGGTACAAGTACAAGTACTACTTCCTCAACTATTATTCCCATTCACAACAGGCAGGAGGAGTTCAGAATAAACTGTTTTAATTTTGCAGGAGTCAATACATGTAAGTAATGACCCAAATCAAGGAACATAGCGAATATTCCATTTTGTTCAGAGTTGATTCCTTTAATCCCCTGGTGAATCTCATTTACTGCCCATGACAGTTCTGTCCAGAGACTCTCAATATTGGGGATAGTTGGAAAAAGTCAAAATTGGAGTAAAATACACATTGAACGAGGGATCACTGCTTCTCAGAACAGAGCAGCGGATCCAAACTGCTAACCAGTGTACTAACCAGTGCAAGAAGGTGCAGTTCCATTATATCCCGTTTGGCATTCACATTTGTAACTCCCAACTGTGTCAGTGCAACTGGTACTCTTGTCTTTGCACAGAGTTAAGCATTCATTGATATCTGCCAAAGGAAAAAAAAACATGGGGTATTTACAAGAAACAAGAAAAAGGTAAGAGGCTACTCATGATGTGTGCAATGTGTTGAGGCTGTCAGAAGGCTACATCTCTTAGTTATCATGCACTTGTGACTTTTGTGTCTTGCACCTTTTTGTGCACATTTTCAAAAAAAGAAATCACACCTACCTCCTCCGTTAATGAACAAAACTTCGTGATGGATTTCTCAGGGATTGGTTTGTGCACAAACTGCCATGAGAAGAGTCGCGATCACTTTCTCATGCCATGAAAGAGGTATGATGCAAGGAAAGCGACCTTTCACGACAAGCCGAGCGGAACCCATGGCTGCACTGTGGCAACAAAGGTAATGGCAGCAGCCATGGCAAGCGAAACTGTAATACCACTTCTCTGAAGGGAGAATGCGCTGCACGCTTGGCCTCCCTGCTACTCTAGCACTGAGTTCGAGAATGATAGAGAGCAATGGAACGGAGCAACGAGCCTACACAATGAGCGGGTGAACAAGCAGCTGCTCCGATAGCACGGCGCAATGAAATAATTCTGAATTCAAGTTCTTGTTCAACCTGCGCAAAGCCCAAATTTGAATGCTGATGACCATGCATTTTTTTCAGAAACCTGCAGTCCGATGAGAGTCTCGTGGCTAAGGAAAGTCGACTGGACTTGCTAGCCGCTGCCGTTCTGAGCTGGTAGGAGTATCCATTGGAATCAGTTTGGCTGTGCATTTACTCCCACGTTTCGCAGAGCTCTGGAGATTGGAGATGAAACCAAGAGTCGGAATTTTTTACGGCTCTCTGGCGGAAATAAGTAATCGCCACCGCAGTGGATCAAGCAGCCTGAAAGACAATTTGAATGACATCAACATCACCAAAGTTAAGCGGAGTGTGACCAAAGAAGCCGAGGAAAGGCTGAAACTAGCTGAACATAGACTCAAGAGAGATCACGACTCGCGTGCAGCGAGGGATCACTGCTTCTCAGAACAGAGCAGCGGATCCAAACTGCTAACCAGTGTACTAACCAGTGCAAGAAGGTGCAGTTCCATTATATCCCGTTTGGCATTCACATTTGTAACTCCCAACTGTGTCAGTGCAACTGGTACTCTTGTCTTTGCACAGAGTTAAGCATTCATTGATATCTGCCAAAGGAAAAAAAAACATGGGGTATTTACAAGAAACAAGAAAAAGGTAAGAGGCTACTCATGATGTGTGCAATGTGTTGAGGCTGTCAGAAGGCTACATCTCTTAGTTATCATGCACTTGTGACTTTTGTGTCTTGCACCTTTTTGTGCACATTTTCAAAAAAAGAAATCACACCTACCTCCTCCGTTAATGAACAAAACTTCGTGATGGATTTCTCAGGGATTGGTTTGTGCACAAACTGCCATGAGAAGAGTCGCGATCACTTTCTCATGCCATGAAAGAGGTATGATGCAAGGAAAGCGACCTTTCACGACAAGCCGAGCGGAACCCATGGCTGCACTGTGGCAACAAAGGTAATGGCAGCAGCCATGGCAAGCGAAACTGTAATACCACTTCTCTGAAGGGAGAATGCGCTGCACGCTTGGCCTCCCTGCTACTCTAGCACTGAGTTCGAGAATGATAGAGAGCAATGGAACGGAGCAACGAGCCTACACAATGAGCGGGTGAACAAGCAGCTGCTCCGATAGCACGGCGCAATGAAATAATTCTGAATTCAAGTTCTTGTTCAACCTGCGCAAAGCCCAAATTTGAATGCTGATGACCATGCATTTTTTTCAGAAACCTGCAGTCCGATGAGAGTCTCGTGGCTAAGGAAAGTCGACTGGACTTGCTAGCCGCTGCCGTTCTGAGCTGGTAGGAGTATCCATTGGAATCAGTTTGGCTGTGCATTTACTCCCACGTTTCGCAGAGCTCTGGAGATTGGAGATGAAACCAAGAGTCGGAATTTTTTACGGCTCTCTGGCGGAAATAAGTAATCGCCACCGCAGTGGATCAAGCAGCCTGAAAGACAATTTGAATGACATCAACATCACCAAAGTTAAGCGGAGTGTGACCAAAGAAGCCGAGGAAAGGCTGAAACTAGCTGAACATAGACTCAAGAGAGATCACGACTCGCGTGCAGCAGATGACGACAGTGATGCAGGGTCAAAAATAAATCGAGTGAAAGCGACGCAAACTGAACTCTCTGCTCATTCTGCCAACAGTTTCTATTATAAAGACGCAATGCATGAGCTGAACTACCATCATCCAGTGATTTGCAGTCAATACAAACTGTTCTGGAACTGTTCTAACTTCTAAGTGTTCTCATATCCAATAAAATCCATCACGACGTTTTTGTTAACGGACGAAGTAATTTAATGTCATTCACAGATGGGTAACTATTCAAGAGAGTCCACTATTTTTTCAATGGGGGTACATTTACATCATACCGCATAGAACAATTCAGGAGAAGAAAACAGAGCTTAAGGTTCACTGTAAAATTATCACGACTCCACAGAAACAGCAACAAGAACTGCAAAACCACCAGTACAATGACAAGGACAAGAACATTACCAGGAGAACACCAAACTTGCACATGCGCCTGGGGGGGGGGGGGGGATTGCACTATTAAAGAGACGACTTGTGCTGTCGTTTGGAATTAGAAGATCATGGCCATAATATTTCAAGTACCCTTGTCTACTA